TTTTTTAAAAAAAATCCGAAACTAGTTTCGGATTAGAGCTTTCCGAAACTAGTTTCGGGTAGGTTTCGTTTCGAGTAGAGGTGCAGGTGAATCGTCCCAATGATGCTATAACTATATTAAATAATTATATAGTTACGGCATCATTGGGACGGTTCACCTGCACCTCTAGTTTCGAGTACCAACTCTACCCAGGGTATACCCTGCGACTTTGATATAGTGACCAGGGTAATCACCTTTTGGAAAATCTAGATGAATATCCTACATCAATTTTCGTGTTATTATTCGACCCTACCAGCAAATAACGTTGAAATAATAAATATCTGAATTTTATAATGCCTCAAGAATATGATACTTATATTTATTTTAAGAGTGTAGAAGTCAAATTTTGGCAGTTGAAATATTATCTGAATTTTTATTTGAAAAATTTTCATTTGAAAAATGATTTAAAAATTTTACTATGTTGGTGAATCTTATTGCTGTATTGCATAAAACAGCCTCAGGAAAATACTACACTTTGCAAAGAATTACTTGACATTTATGAAACTGCTAAAGGCTTCGTTGTTCGACATGTAAGCGCCTAATTTAGTACCCTGTTGCAATTTTTTTCTTTGCAACTTACGTTCTCAATACTTGCTTGCCAGTCCCGTATTTTTGGTATATTAGATTTGTCTGGAGAATATACAAAGATTAAGAATCTTTTCACTAAAGAAGATTGGACGGAAACTTTTAACGAAGCAGTTGAATTTAAAGATATAAATGAAAAAAAGGGGTTATGAGTTATTTGGTAAGATTCAAGAGGTAACACTTTCTTTGCTTCATCAGGCTGATTCATGTAAACAAAATTTTAGGATTTTTATTGGTTAGAAGCAATGGAAAATTTCGTCCACCCCTAAATTTAGCAAAATTTGTTTTACAGAACATGTGAAAAGAATTTTCAGAACTTTATTGTTATGTGAAAAGCATAAAAATGGTTTGACCCAACATGAATAATGATGACTTTATTGGTTACATCATTCACCACCTTAATCTTTGATAATAAAAAAAGAACTTAACATCAACCACTTCTTTTCACCACATTATTAAAGCAATGCTATAAACTATTAAGATCCAATTTTATTTTCAAATTAAGAACTTAAATATAAATAATATTAGATTTAATAGTATATTAAAAATGTATATTATAACAGTAAAAGATTTTTTTACATCTAAAATAAAATTTTAAATTGCTATTTTTTTTAATTCTGGTATTAGAATACTTGTACGTTGAATCTACTTTGGTTGATTTCAAACAAACGTAGGTTGTAGTTGTTAAAAAATTCAATCTCAGCTTACAATAAAATTAAGTGGATTCCATTGCTTTGAAATTTAAGTCTCATTATTAAGATTTATTTATAACGTGGCGCATGTAGCATATTTTATAATATATAATATGCTCATAATATCACATGATAAAATTTTTTTTCCTGTTATATTTTTAAAGGTATTTTGCAATACAAAAAATAACAAATTAAGATGCTAATCGCACTTAGACCAGACTAATTTAATCCATTCATCAAATTTATTTCTCCTTCCGAAAATGCCGATGTTTGCCAACCTTGTTCGTCTTTATGTTTATTCTTCATCTTCTTTTTAGAATTTTCTAAAGCTATTTCTTCATTCCACCTGGTCAATCATGTGCACGCATGAAACCCAATTCTAGGTACGTACATGTTACATAAAATTTTTACATTTATGATTACGTACGTACGTACGTACGTACTAGGAAGACAACTACTATTACGTAAAAGGCAAATTCCCTTTTTTTACATTACAATGGTTTATTACACGAAGTTTGCATTTAGCATTACCTATTTGCGTAACGCATATGAGCGTCGAAAGAATATTATTCAACTCTGAAAACTTGTCGAAACCCAAGAACACAGATAGATTTGAGTCAAATTTAATAAGTCGAATTATAAGGTTGTTTCAAGATCAC